CGCTCTGCTCCGATTCCGTCTCCCGCACCGACGCCGCAACCTCCTTCTTCCTCCTCGCCTGCTCGATCCCGCCACCGACGCTGAATCCCCTCACCTCTTCTGCGAACGTCGAAGCCCACGCCTTTCCTGCGGACGTCGAAGCCCTCGCTCCTCTCTGCGAAGACTAAAATCCTTGCTCTCATCTCTCAGCCCCTGCTTCCGATTTTGCCTTAAACTATTGCCGTCCCAACTGAATTTTCAGCGAATCACGATCGTGGTTAGCAAGGAGCAGTGACCAAATCTTAACAAACACAGAATCAAGGTGTCTTTTATTTCCTCTTGATCGAAAAAGCTCTCCTAAAGGTATAACTTCTCCCAAAACAAATCTATATATGATTTTCTTTTACTTATGAAAGTATGCAAGTGTTTGATGCTTCTAAAATAAAACAAAATGTATATGCAGGAGATGCTTGTATGAAATATGATAGATTCCACTTGATTTTTGCTATTTTATTTCGATATTTGTGTGGGATGTGTTTTGATAAATTCATTTGGACATTCATGCAAAATTTTCTTGACGAATCCTTCTGCCCAAGTTGATGTATTACAAATTGAAACATATCATATATGGGTCTACCGATGGTAATCGAAATTTCACATTCATGCATTTGCCTTGTAATTGCATGCCATAAATGCTAGTAATAAAAGTGATGAATCTCTTTGGTTATATATATTCGAAATGTTAGATTATTGCAAGATTACATGAATTGTGGTGTTGATATTGTGTTTCCATTTACATACATATGTATCATCCAGTTCTCATGAATTTATGTCTTACACTTGAACTTTACTTTCGCATTTATACAACACAATATTTCAACTGTTTTGGAGTCATTTCGGGTACCGATTTTGGGCTGATTAGTGATTTTTGTATTTGTTATTTTGGAGGAAATTTTAGACTGATTTCTTGACTCATTGCCCATTGTTTGGAACTGTTTGAAAGTGTCATTGTGGGTAGTACTTTTTGGTTCCGTTTCATAGCTTTTGGGTTGCACTTTGTTAGTCTATTTGGTGTTTTTTTTTTTAGCTTAATTTTTTTTTTTACCCTGAATTGTGGAACATTCGGGCCGATCAAAACACTGTTTTGGAACATATTTAAACACTCTTCTCAGGGGCCGATTTAATTATACTTGTTAAAAGAACTTAATTGTTTTTTTTTTAAGGTTGATTCACTTGATATTTCCTCTTTTGATTTGTTAGTTTTGAAACTGGATCAATCTTTTATTTTCGTTTGTTTTGTTCCTCTTGCCCCATGGTTAAGTTATAAAGATGGGGATTGATGATTTAATTAATTGGAAGATATAGAAAATCTTAAATCACCTTAAGCATAAGTTAAAGTGTAGGTTTCCTAGAACTTTAAGTGCACACCCTAGGTGAGAGTCTATCAACCTAGTCCTCGGTTTAGGCTTCCTATACTTTAGAAGCACATCCTAGGTGAGAGCCCATCCATCTAGTCATCTGTGTAAACCTCTTAGACTTTAGATGTACACCCTAGGCGAGTGTCCATCCACCTAACCCTCAGTGTAGGCTTCCTAAATTTTAGGAGCACACCCTAGGTGAGAGCCCATTCACCTAATTCTCAGCATAAACTTCTAGATTTTAGGAACACATCCTAGGTGAGAGTCCATCCACCTAATTCTCAGCATAAATTTCCTAGTCTTTAGGAGCACACCTTAGGTGAGAGCCCATCTACCTAATCTCTGCAGTGTAACCTCCCAAGGTTTTAGGAACATACCCTAGGTAAGAGTTCATTCACCTAACCCTTAAATGCACAATGAAACTAGACACTTGACCCTAATTCACAAACTGATCAAAACACTAGACATGATGCACCG